GGATATCTCCCACAAGGAGGAGGATGTTTTCGGCAATACCTCCTGTATTGCCCAGTTACCTCCAAGAACAAGACAGTCGTCACCGATTTCGCAGTTCCACCATCACTGTTTATGTCAGCGTGTGGTATCTCCCGAATACATAGCTCTCGACAAGTCGTTGTACGTGGGTGCACCATCCTGTTGACACCAACAGTTTCCAGTCTTTGCTTTTGTGTGTGCCGTATATTGTTGTATTCGTAATAAAAAATGCTACTGAATACAGTATGTACGTTTTTTACGGTCCATATTAAAAATTAAAGTTAATGATTTCTCCGAAACGAAACGTTGAATCGAAAATCTCTCAATGGTGCTCAAAAAGTGGCAATGAGAAAGTGTTTTTTAAAATTTTTTTGTATCTGTTCAAATAACATCATAATAAAAATAAAAACGAAATCTGCAAATTTCGGGTTTTCTTCTAAAGTAATCGGAATTTTCTTTAAAGCATGATAATAACTCTTCAATTGCACATCTTGTTTCGAATTTGACCTTCGTCGTATCTTCTATGGTTTCGGAAACAATTAAATAGCATGGGATAGCATTCTTTGGTTCTGTTATTCCATTCCTAACCCCATAAGAGACATGTGCTGTGATTCCAATGTGACGCTATTCGGTGTATTTGTGATGTTAATGAACGTGGTCAGGACAAACAGCCCATGCCTTCCATATGCCGGTCATTTTCCCTATTCCAAACATCGAGGATGTTACAACACACCCATAAATGCATGGAGAAACTGAAGGGCTTCGGACAGTTCAGGGTCAACCTGTTGACAGATGTAATGGATTGAAATCTCTTTAAAGGTCTTTCCCGACCCAAAACGTATCCATATAACTCTCACATATTCCACCATTCAAAGCATCCACGTCTGTGTCTACCAGTGGTGTAGCTAGGGTTGTAGCATTGGAAGGGCTGAGCCCTCTAGCGTTGGTGTATTTCCGGGCGGGGGAATTTATCGCAGGTGAAAATTGGGGGGGGGGGTGCATTTAGTACATCAAAAAAGGAGTGAATGCTAGGATCAATGAATTATTCTTTTACCCATGTCTCTTCAAAATATTTTAATAAATACGAACAGCAATTATTTTTATTTATCATGTATGATGATGCCGCATAGACGAATGTGTTAATTCTAGTCGACGTTGTTTTCGAGACGCAAACTCGTCGATGATACACTCAATACACAATTTTCTTGTATCTTCTTTCTCAATCGATAAAATTGCCAAGGACGATAATTTGTCCTGCCTCATACTATTCCTCGTATAGTTTTTCGTCCTGGATAACACACTGAATGATCTTTCGCACGAGGCTGTGGACACTGGAATCGTTATCGCTATTTGCAGCATTTTATGTAGATTCGGTAAAACGATTCAGGTCGCTTAGATTCCAAACCCATTATATAATTTTTTGCGACCAAGATTTTCCCTATGTGGGAAATCTATTTCATAGTGATCACAAAATGCTCGTAAACTATCTTTGGATAAATACTTATCTGAATCTTCCGTAATTAAATTTGGAGACATTGAGCTGATTCCTTTGAAAATGTCTCTGTTCGAGCTGAAGCGATCGTTTATTTCCCTCAAAGGTCTGTCAATAACAGGGTAAAATAAGGTCACCTTGTACTGGTTCTTTGCACTAATTTGCGGTTTTTTATTTCTTTGTCCAGAAGATGAACATAGAAGTCATTCAGAGTTGATGGCGTACGTCTCTGACGTTTCGTTACGTCGGGTACATACGACATACACTTTCTTGGGCAGAATCTTCGTCAATCTTCACATTCAGAGATTCTGCGAACTTATTTGCATCGGAATAAATTCTTTCGTAGGTATTTTCACCGCGCAGTTGTTGAAGAGTTGTGACAACAGCGGCTACCCCAGCGATTGCTTCTGCCACATCCAGATTGGGTGACTGAAGTGTATCACTTAAGATTTCAGTAATCGATAATACTTAGAATTGCGGCGGTTTTCTTAACTTGCTCGCAATTTATCGTTATTTTGGTAAAGGTTTCCTAACAAACTGAACGTAGGTACGCCATTTTGCCGTGGATGTTTCCCTTTACAAAATAACAGTAATTTTTCAGGTTCGTGTCGGTGTGAAAAATCTTCTTTTTCTCTCTTCAAAGTACTTAGGACTTACCTTCTGTACCTCTTTAACCCGCTAGCTTAGATAATAACATGGGTGCAAACAGGAAGATAATTCGTTCTATTCTAGCTCACGGTATAACATTCATTAATCATAAAAACGTAACCAAAATTTGGAAGAATGTTGTTTTGACGTTACTACTCTCATATGCTTCCGAGATTAGTATGTAAATGCAACAATTTGGGTTTCCTTTATACGCAAACTTCTTGACCTCCTTGAGAAATTACAGAGAATTAACATTAATTATCTTTTATACCTTTATTTGAAAGTCAATGGATTTAAAACATATAAATATCTCCGCCCTTAAAAGAACGGTAAAGCTTAATAATCAAAAATAACGGACATTTCCTTTAACTGGTACCTTAATCAATTTTAACTGTTATACAATCCCCTAAAATACATAAAACCCCAAAAAATTAAATATAAAATTGTTCAGATCGATCAAAAATACGCAAACTTCACGATTTAATCAAGTTTATCAAATATAAAACTGCAAATTCTACCTTAATTCATCTCGGTAATGGCGTTGCTTCTTATCTAATCGCCTTACATCCGCTGGGAACAGGCCGGTGACCTCGCATTCCAGGCGTTCGGTTCCGTCGTTACAGGAACTCAAACTGGTGGTGGTGGACTGCCAAATTTCCCAAATCTAATCTTCTCAAGGTGGAAATACCCAAAAATACTCGCTGGCGGAAAACAATACGCCGCATAGGCTCCTCTTCCAGGCTGGGAAACAAACTACGTTGGCACGCAGACCCCAAATTCCACCCTTAGATAACGATGTGGGCGTAAAATATCTCGATAACTTTATTTACGCTATATCAATTTTAAAACGTTCGGCGACGTCCCACTACCACTTTTGACTTTTTGTTGCGTATTGAAATCGTAGTACGCTAACTGCGTATACCGCGTACTGCAAATTTCCAGACACTAATCACCACCTTTACTACTCGATGGTTGAACGCCGACTCTCCGCACTTTTACTCCGCATAAAAATTCCCCTCGCACCGTATAAATCGCATTCATATAAAAATGAAACAAAAGCACTTTAAAAATAGAATCTGTCCTTTGCACTTTATATCTAAGTTACATTGTAATCAAAAAATTCTTTCTAGGACGTAAAGAATGTGTAAATTTGGTTTTTAAAAAACTCCAACCCATTACAGTACCCCCTCCTTGTTTTTGATACAACTGGTCTGTTGAATCGAAAACAACATACTAAGAGTTAAAAGCAAAACATTCCTATAAAAAATCAAACTTATTTACAAAATATATATACAGTGAAAATAGAATTTTCAAAATTGATAACAAAGGATCTCAGGTATTAGGTTTGGTTAGGTATGGTATAGGTTGCTACCGGTAAGTTTATGGTACTACTGGGTGGTTCTGATACCCTATACTTCTTTAAATTTACCACATTATGTACTCCTCTGTTTCTTTCTCTTTTTCCAATCTCTTTGGTTTACTCTCATGATGCTCTTCATTGATTCTTTTTCAATTCCTTCTATCTTGAAATCTTTCTCCACTATTTCTTCTTCATTGCAACTTAGGTTGGTCTTTGTCCTTTTCCACTTCTTGTTCTGAACGATGTTGATTCCTTTCTGCTAATTC